CTAACAACTACTGCCACCTTTCGCGTTTGACCGCTAACCAACTTTACCCACGAGCAGATCCCCCACTGGACCATTTGGCACTAAATCTGTGGCCACCCAGATGGACTCAAGTGCTTATCTTGTACTCTCTGTGCGATAAACCTCCATGTCACGACTCAGTGATTTAAGGTCCACTCTATTCACCGGTTGAAGCACTCCGATTCAGCGGCCAAATAAGCGGTTTAGTCTCTGTTGACCTTGGCCAATTCATTTATTTCTGGGCACTTGGTATCGGATTGGACCGCGTCAGCAGTAATACGTCTTTCCCCCTTGGTGTGGGTCTCGCATCCACAGCGGGATGGGTTTCAACACTTCTGCCCACACCTGGCTTGTTATTTGCATGCGGTTGTGTGGCACGAGCAACACTGTCTGTAATCGGACATAAATTTTCCCACTAAAGGGCATAACTAGTCACTCGTGAAATTAAACTCATCAATGGGGAGTTGTCACAGCCACGAAAAACGGTTCACTAAAACGACACGGGACGCCCTGATCATATTGCTGCATTTTAATTTAGAGGTTTAACAGAGTCGATGTGTCAGTGTCACTACCAAGATCAACTTCATGTTACACAAGGCCACGTGCGACATCGGTTGATATCTCAAAGTCCAAAGACGATGGGACACGTCCTTTTTCCCACCCACTAAAGAAGCTCGAGGTGTGTTTGGGGTGCGAAGGTCATAAATAAAGATAATGTGGAAATTTATTTCACAATTAAAAACCAATTAGTCAAAGTTATTTTGAAAAGCATCACGTCCAAGTATGAATGTAATGGGATAACAGCATGTGCCAGTCATATGAGTACTAAGCCAATGAAATTAACGAGAGCTAGTGCCAACGGCATCGATGTGGTGCTTGGAAATTTCGCGCTCGCCAGGCTAAACCAGCAACTACGAGGGGTTCAAAACAGTCCCGCTGATCCTACAGCTTTTGCTAAATGGTGACTGTGCTCGTAACTTTAGAGGTTGGCCGGTCCATTGACCTCTCGAGTGCAGTACATAAAACAAAATGTTACCAGAGCGTCCTTACTAGGCAGGGGAGGATCTGCTCAACAAATCCAACCTGTAAATCTCTGATGGATTTGTTGAGCAAGTTTTGAAATTATTCGATGATTAAAGTTGACACGCGGTTTATAATACACGCACCAATAATGTGTACTTTGATTAGCATCGGACACGTTCTCATGTACCATTTCGTTCTACTCGGTTTTGTCACGAGCGCCATTTAGCATACCCTTCTTCCGAAAATCCTGTTTCATGTAATTTACTCCTGTAAAGCCACCTGTTAATTAATGTTGAACCTTTTCCACAAGTAATCTTACCTACTTGAGGGAAGCAATACAGTTCTGCCCCCACTCTTCACGTAAAATACAGTTTTTTTTCATTTGGCAGACTGTTGTCAAGGAGCAGCTCTTGAAGTTTCAGTCCATTTCTCCTCCTCCTCCTCCTAATCCTCCTTTTGTATTCAGAGGTCAAAGGCCACCTTTTTTCTCGTCTCATTCTCTAGTTCTCATTTCAACTTGATCAAAGACGCTCTTCTTGATATTTTCTGCCTATAGGTTTCTTTAATTTGACTCGGTTCAAGTTCCACTAACCTTTTTGAACCACTGACGAGTCGTATAAGGAATACCCCGTCACTCACTTTAGCCTAATTCACGATGCCTATTAGTCTTTGGAACGTCCTAAAGTGGGATATTACAATCTTCCTCTCACATCAGTTCTCTGCCCATTACCTTCTATTCATTGCAGACTTTAACAAGCTGCCTCCATTCCATTTTACTCCACATTGAACTCTATTAACCACCACCATTTTCTTCTAGACATTTACTTGCTTGACGATCCATAACTTAATCTTACTTAATTAACCATCATTAATTTACGAAATAGGCTTCTCTAAGTGCTTACATTGCAGAAAATTAGACCTAATAAACCCTTCCGTAATGCATAATTTCTTAGTTTTCTTTTTTGACTCATGATTTTCGTCCATTTGGAATCTAAGGCTGCCTAGAATCGCAACGCATCTCTCCCTTCATCGGCGTTTAATCTGCAGAGTTCGATATTCGCGAATTGACCTCTGTGAGTACGGTAAGGCAATGAGCTGTCTTTAGTCAAGCACATTATAAGTAGTCAGGTAGCAGAACCAACAAGTATCGCCACTCTCTCCAACATGCCATTAAATCTGCCGTAAGCGAAAATGTTTACGACCAATTAATTCGACAGTCTGTATAACCTTAATGGTACATACTAAACCGGCGTTTAGGATTACCCTACAATCTGCGATAATAGGCCGAGAACTCAAATATCCTAGCACCCTTCTGTCGGAGAGAGACAGAGAAATTTACATACAATACTCTCCTTGCTAAATAAGAGCATCAAAGGTGTTTCTCCACCCGACAGGCACATGAGGCTCACCATCCGTAGGGAAACCATCAAACCCCATCAAAGGTTCCCTCCCGGAGTTACCTACAAGAATTTGTGTGGTAAACTGTCAGGTAACGCGTGTGATTGAGCCTTGTTTACAGTTTCATTTGACGCAAATAACTTTTGGTTACTGATGATAACCAAATAACACGCTTGCTCTCTCACAAAAAGACATACTCGGGGGGCCTGACGCTAATAAAGGGATATATCCTGTGTTGCTCACCTTTGTTCTTGGAATGTTATGGGGTGGGATAGACCATTTACCATAGTAGTTAGAATATATCACAAATTCCTTTTAAATTGTCCAATGCCTTCTTGACAACGCCTATTAAATACATTTGACCACTAATTTTCCTAAGTATCCCCTCTACATACAATTCAATAACTTTGACCCTGGACATCAAAAGTGCAAGATCTTGATGATGCTTCCACATTCTTTTTGAAGTGCACATTATTGGCAGCGTCTTGCGGAAACGACGTGGTGATTACTGTGAATTCACTTCCACAATTTCAATTCTAATCATCGTTAACCGTAAACGAACCACTCTGATCCCCATTTTTACACTCAATGAACCAAACACCCTGCTGCTTACTAATAAATACGACAAAAACAGACACTAAGGCCAAATGAACGATTAAGCCTCCCATAATACTGGTCTTTCCATTCTTTTCTCGGTACTTGATGTCGATTTACGCCTCATCAGTAAATTGTAAGCAGATTCAGAGTAAAAGTACTATGTTCATATCATGAACATCAATAAATGCTGTAAGAAATGGGTTTGCCTTGTCCAAGAGCACATGGAATTCATTTTGGCCTAGCTACACAGTCATTTAACCTTACATACTAATGCTTTTACCTCAATGAAGTTTAATTTCTTGCTCATAAAACCAATTTATCATCTTATCGTCGAAATTATAGGACTAGTTGGGTGCATCTACCTACCTATGAATCTGGATTGTTACTTTGCTAGATTCATCGTTAGCTGGAGAACTAGGCAATTTGAATGCAGCTTATAGACAAACTAAATGAACTATTAAATAGATTTGGACGCAACTTTATTCATTAATATAACATGGCAAAGAAGAAGAAGAAGAAGAAGAAGAAGAAGAAGAAGGGTGAGATATTGAATAGGCAAAACCAGCCGGAAGATTTGATAAGCACTAGAAAATGCACATTGTTTTTGTGGTCCGTAGACCCTTTGATTTAAATTGTATTTAGCACGTACTCAAATAAACTTCTATTGACAGGAAAAGTAGTGACGCTATACCCCGCATTTTTTTCATAAGCATTTTTAATCTCTACATCAAAAGACTGCGTAATATTTCTTATATTTAAGATAATCCAACTTTGTACACTTTCGAGTTATGAATATAATTTTTTCTCTGACCTCAAATGAATCAGAATCATCCATTCGAGGCAAATCTAAATAAGGGCACGATTAGTTTCCAAGACCTTAGGTAACACTTTTGAAATAAGTCATAATACTGTTTTAAAAAAGTTTTGGTTGTAACTTATTGGCCATACCATAAAAATGTAGTTTAAAACCATTGGACTTTTACACGTATTGTTTGTATGATCCATTTGTTTTCTGGAAGGTTTGAATAGGTGTGTTCTGGCGCGCCCAAATTCGTCAACATATATGCCAGCCGGTAAATTTTCCTCTTTAATCAATCCACAATCACTAAGTTATTTACCCACCTTATCTCACCGCATGCCACGGATCAATCGTGACCTCTCCTATGTGGTCACTTACTGTTCGGACACCATCCACCTTACGCTTTGGTCCCCTGGCCTCCTTCCGTTTGTCTGGAATACACAGGCTCCCCTTACTTCCCTAAACCTTTTGTGTGTCTGGTAGTCAAGCTTAAGGGTCCGGCTATATGCCAAGACTGACTGACAGTATTCTCCCTTTTAAGGTGCCATCTAGGAAGGCTGTCTATCGTGAATGACTTCTGTTGTTGAGGCCAATTTCGTCCGCCTGCTGCACTGTACCGAAGATTTGTCATCCTCAGAAGGCTCCTTTAATTATGAGTATATAGTATACCTTAAAAAACTCCAAGAACTCCTTCTAACTTTGACAACATCCAACCCGCGTCCTGCAGCAGAGTTCCTTCACATATATAAAACTCGTGTACGTTTTGGTTTCATGTCTTCATAAGGTTCCGTTGGTTGTACGTTGGTTGTTTAGTTTATGATTTAGAGTTATTACCCTTCTAGCAGTCTAGCTTTCCCTAACGTCCTGTTTGACATTCTAGTAAATTATTTCGTTTGCATGTGGTGGCGGCTTGATTTTTTCGTGACGTACGTTGCAACCATAGTAGTTTTTTTCAGGAACGTTGTGTAATATTGATAGCTCTACCTTTTTAGTACTAAAGTCATGTTTATGTGAATACTTTATTGCCCGGCTCCAAATTACATGTGCTTGAATGGATTTCCTTTTGACGGCCCTACCTCTTATGCGGTACACTCTAGGGCTTTTGACTTTGTCTGAGTTGACAAGTTGTTCTTGCTAGTATATGCTTGTTTATGTTTTTACATAGATAGAACAACTGTTAGCCGTAAGAAATCGATTCCAGTCAGTAGCACAAATTGATTCAATCGATTGTGATGTACACAAACGTGAATTCGAAAGTGCAATGGAGATTTGGTTGCCCAACCTAGCTGCAAGTATGTCTCCGTGCGTCAACAGACACAAGTCTTTTTTCTACCTTACCGGTCCTCCCACTTGCCTTAAATGGGCTGAACGCAATAAAGAGGCTTCAGTCAGTAATGTGACTGTTCGTAGTGAACAGGAAGAAGAACATCTTCAACAGAAGTTCATATCCAAACAAACCGCCACGCATTTCCTTGCAGATGTGCCTAACTCAGTTATCACGCATCGGACCCGAACTGATTCTGATTCTAGACGGCTTCTCGGTAAGCTAACTCGTTGCACACAAGACCAGTTATAGTTTCTTCCCTTGTCCTAAACTCAAATCCATGTCTCTGAAATGAATTTTGAATTTTCATTGAAACAGGACTAAAGGCCTTGGCCGAAGGGGACGTCGACGCCAACACAGGCAACATGCTAGACGGTGAAGTATTGGTAAGAGACAAGATAGCCGCGGACATGCTCTCGTTGACAGAGGAGCTGCGCTCAACGCAGATGGCCCTGGGCGATCGCATCCGCTCCGACCTCGGTGTCCTCGCTACATCGCATTCCGTGGCTCAGGCCAACGCCGACACGCTGGCCGCTGTGTCTCGGCGGGTTCGCGAAGAGCTGGGACACAAATTCGGTATTTGCGTCTGGGTCACTTTCCTTCTCTCCATTGTCGTCTTCTTCTGGATGATAATCTTTATTAAATTCACCCCAAAAGGCACTCTGGTCTCGTAATTTACTGTCTTGTTTGGCTCTAATACATTTATCTGACTTGAATGCTCTCTGTGTTTTGTCGCAGATTCTGGTATTTCTACTAGGACAAAAGTAGTCATGTTGGTGTTATTTAAGCTTTTGTCTAGAAAGCAACTTCGTCCGTTTCATGTAAGACTTTCAATTTCGATGTTGTGCATCCAGGAAATTCTATCCTCGGGGGGACAAGATTCGACCATCTTCCGCCTCCATTTTGTTGGTTTAAGACCAAGCCCATGTTGGTTTTCAATGGAATTACTCCAAAATGCGCAAACTGGAGTCCGCAGATGGTTCAGTCTGATATAAAAATAACCGAAGCCGAGGAAAGGACCCACATTGTGGAAAAAGCTGTTTATGCTTGTGAAAAGGCGTCTTGACTTTGTGGTAAACGTAGAAAGTGACTTTCCTGTAAGGTTTAAAAGGCGAAGAAACCAAGAAGGTGTGAGGCGTTGTACTCATTAAGCAATTTATTGTATTCGGTGTCCCCTTTTTTTAATGCATCTGAATATATTTACGTTCTTCACCAAGCCTCCCAAAATGTATCGATGAACATTGGAAATCAAGTGGTCATACTACTACCGCCAATTATAAGCAGTTGTAATTTTTCATCTTTTCATTTTAACATGTTCTTCGTTTACAAAACCTTTCCCTAATTTGAATTCTTGTTATGTCATTACCAAAAAGGGTTACTGATAATGCTTTTTGATGAAGAATAGTCGTTTCGAAACCTGTAATTCACCATATTGACACCCGTTGTTTCAACAAAATAAGTGCCAGGTTGCAAATCCTAAATTTTTATCTTAGCATTATTTGGGTCTCCTGGAGTTTTCTTTCCCAAACTATTCTATTACTGAATGTGCGACCTTGAGACTATGGGTTCTCAAGCAGAAATAGTGTATATAAGGCGCCCGGACACCTGGCAAACCTTTTTGAATTTCATTTATAAGCCTATTGTGAATGTAAACCCAAATTTTCAGGCGCCATACGTTTGCACCCTGGCTACAAGCACTCGTAAACCAAGTAAGGCGCTGCTGCTGTCACTAATCTAAGATCGCTTGCGTCAACATTGAGGTGACTGAATAATCCTGCAGACAGGTGGCACGGTTTGTCAAGTATTTGATAATTCCAATTATAGACCTCCGTCACCATCCAATGACAATCATTTGGCAGGTGGCGCCCAATGCAATAACTGCTGTTTCCCAACTCTGCTCATTTCTTGTTTTTTTTTGGTTGCAGTTTTGTCACAGTTGCCAGAATCAAAGTCATGTTCTGAATGCTGCTTTGCTTAACTTGGGGCAGTTTTGGCATTCTAAACATCATTGTTCTCTGAGCGGTGTACTCACACCAGAAGCCCACTGCCACATTTCCATCAGTCCGTTTCTGCTGTCTCCAGTTCAAAAAGTGGAAGACCATACCGCTGACACTGTGCATCCACATGGCATGAATGCAACATGTACATGTTTGTCTTGATCCACCCGTTGTTTGAATTCGGACTCGTACTGATCGCCGCCTTAAATTCGTTCACTGAACGAGCGGTAATTATGCTGAATGCTGTTTGAAGTGTGCGAAGCTACGAGCCTCCGCAGTTGTTGCATTATTCTACTGTTAACGCTGTTAGGTAAACTCGAATACCTTGTCTAACGTCCCGAAGTGTCTTCTTTCCTTTGCCTGTCCAGTGTGTCTGTCCGTCCTAATAGCGATTCTCTTGTAAAGGTTTATTTTGCTTAAAACAAGCAAGCAATCTTTAGTGTCAAATTCACAGAAGACAAAGTAATTTTAGTAATATACCTTTAGCCCTAACAATTCCTATTCAAAAGCTGCTATTAAGTTAAAGGCCAGAGCAAGAAACCCAAAATATGTGCTTGTTTGGTGCAGTGATTCATTCTGAAAAGCGTGAGAAGCCCTCAGAAGGAGATCCATTAAAGTGTGAACTGAGACTGAGAATTCGTCACTGCGCAGCTTCTCGTTCACTTGTAGCAGACTCAGTGACGTAAGAGTGTAGGCAAGCACAGGCGTAGCTGGGCCGATAGAGAAGCGCTTTTTTTCGAAATTCGATTCTGGAGACCGCATTGCTTCGGGTACGGTGGAACTGCAAATGGTGTCTAGATGCCGGTCAGCGGGATCAGAAATTTTCATGGAAGACAGGCAAACTTATTGCCTCGATCACTCTACCTGTACATTCGTTCGGCGTGACGATGGTTCCGCATTATGTAAAAAGGGATGCAACAGAACTGTTTCACAGCTCCATGAGATGATCAACTTTAGTCTTTACTCCTTGAAATGAAATTGAGTTTCTAAACAAACCTCTAAATTGTACTTTTAAGTTACAGTACTACTACCATCGGAATGTCCTGTTAATTGGTGCATAATTATCTGCACTTTAAGCATTAGTATAATAAGCATGTCATACTAATTATGTCACTTGAACTTTAAATCGACTAACTATTCTGTGTGAGGGTGTTTCATTACAAATCCGGCTTTCATGTTGACAACTAAGAAGTATTGGGATGCCGTAAAAAAAGTTATCCAAAGCAAACTCCTTCCACTCACAGATGAACTTCATTGATGATCTTAAAAAAGCGTGCAGAGCGTAATGCTCCAGACTAGCTGATTTGAATAACTGGCTTGTAGTTTGAAGATGAAGCATTCACTCTAGATCAGTTTGAAATCCAAAAAAAGTTTTTGCTTTAATTTCTAAGCTCCTCTATGTGCACCAAAAATGTCTACTTCCCTAGTTGCATTACTAATTTTGGCTAGTTCTGGGGTGATAAGTGTACATCCCTCTTTGAGTGTATCTATTTGATGTTAGAGAACTGATTCGCTCAATGGTTATGAAATTGCCAACATAATACTTGCCGCTAGCGCTGTGGAAGAGTTTATTACAGGTGTTTGAGCCATAAAACTTTGAAATCTCAATTGTTTTTCTAAAGGCATGGGATGGAGTCGCCGCTGACTGAGTGTGGCAAAAATTTAGACTTGTTAAAGACAAATTACATAACGGGGTTTTGCCTCATTTGAAATGCCACGACTTTAGAGTTGTAAGTTTGATTTCCCACCGCCAGAGGGAGCTTCTTGAGTTATGTAAATTCGTTAAATTTGCATGGATAGAAATCTCCCGTTAATTCATGAAACAGAAAACTGTTTGGTTGTGCATATTGACAATCCAGGGGCTATTTCCCTACATCTAAAACTTACTATGCTACCGATTGGTAAGTACAAAATTGACGAATCCGCTGTACACCCTACTGCCGGAGGCATGTAAATTCAACACCAAAGCTTCACCAGTTCAATAGTTTCATTTCACCTTTGAACACAATAAGGAATAAACATTTAGTACGGTTGTTAAAAAATAAAGTACTGACTACATACTGGGATATATGTTACAGTTCTCTTCATGATTGGAGATGTAAGTTGGTGGTGAGTTGTACGTATCATTAATGACCTCTCTGGAGTTGATTGACAAGTCAGCAGACCCACGCTCAATCGAAACGACTGCTATCCAAGGTTTCATATTGCTGGGGAATTGTTTCTTTTCGATAAACAGAACGATTGTAGTTGACTTGCCTATTGAACAACTGAAATGCATGACATTTATTAGGTGATTGCATTGGAGCTTACTCAAATGCATGTAACTGCCCTACAAGAGACAACTGCGGCAATTTTGCCATTCCTCACTTGCCTTGAATGTAGCTTAACGAGTTCAAACGCCATCTCTATTATAGATAAACTGAATGTCAGTAATTGGAATGTCTTTGCAATGCGATTCATGGACTACCAGTAGTCACGATTTCTTTTGAGTTAATAAAAATCATTACTATGTTATCAGGGAATTTATTCACTGGGATCCGTTGATTAGAGTAGTTAATTGAAATTTACTTGGGCAAATGATTACCAGATCATGTGTAGCCAAATTCAGTAAAATGTATTAATCATTATCATCTTAATGTGCTTTCGAATATATTATGGTGACATTTCCATTTCACTCATAACTAGTATTTCAAGTTAAACCGACATCAAAATACTCCCCAAATGGACCGAGTGGTTCGATAATATCGAAAATCAATTTACAAACTCATTTGCTTTATTAATTCAATAGCCGCTGAACTGGTCAGAACTTTACCAACTGCGCTTTGAAGAGGAACCTCGTAGTTCACACAGATAGGGAACTATAAAACTTGTACAAACTTAATAAGACATGCGAAATGATGGAAAGTAAAAGTTGAAAAAAAGTGTATTATTTTTATGTCCCTAATTTGACCTCGGATCGGGCATGGACATTTGCAATCACCCAACCTAGGCCATCTCGCGATTTGCTTTCGACTTCTTTAGTTTGAGCCTCTCGAAATCTGGCTTCGAAAGTTAACTGGAGTGACGATTCAGGTAATAGCATCATCTGGGAGTTTGAAAACTTCGTATTTGGGGTGTTTTGGCATTAGAGTAGGTAATTTGCATATCAGTGGCAAAATTTTGAATTTTCTTGCTGTAATAGAGATGGTGTTTGAACTCGTTAAACTAAATTAAAGGCAAGTAAGTGATGGCATAATTGTAAGGCAGTTTCATGCATTTGAGTAAGTTTCAGTGTAATCACCTAATAAACCATACCGAGGGTTTATTCGTCATTGTGTTCAATGGAGAAATGAAACTGGATTGAACTGGTGAAGCTTTTTTGTGTAGACTTCACATGCCTCCAGCATTAGGATGTACATCGAATTCGCATTTCGACTGGATGTAAGGTTTCTTAAATTCGAGTCGAATAGCCGAACGCAAGTCTCTGTGTGTGAAATGCCCACCAGTTTAACCTCTGATATGATCTAGCCTTATGGCTTACAAAAATGGGAAATGAAATGCAAAATTCTTTTCGGACACAGTGGCCTCTCTCACATTTTAAAAATCGCTAAATAAATGGTAGTGGTTTTCCTATGTGCAACAATAACACGTCAGTCAAACTTGAAGTCACCTTAAACTTTAAAATCAGATTAATCAGTTTCTCGTTAATATTGAATACTAAATAGTAAAGTAAGTAGCTTGCGATATCCTAACTTTTGAGTTTATGAAGCACACTTTTCTAGAATGAAAGATCCATGTTTATAAGTTAAAATGCAGCAGATTTAATGTGGATTCAGACTACCTGGCTTTTCTATGAACATTTTGAGGCTGCTCTTAAAACAATGTCTATCTCACCATTTATCGCGCAGTCTAGACTGCCCCTTTACTGCTCTAACTTTCTTTATAACTGACATACAATTGGCCTACAGCACAATTGTATAACGCCTGATCAGTCCACCTCCCCGTACACTTTAGCTTTTTATTGCTTAGAGGTCGAATGTGTTCGCCCATTTTCCAAGAAATCGCACGTTTGAAATCGCAGATGCTTTATCACGTAGGTCGCCTAATTAATGAGTGAAAGTGTCAACCTCATGCACACAACCATGTGACGCTGCTCGTAGCAAGCGCACCACCACGCCCTGCGCAGGTGCCAAGTCGATTTAAAGTGCCCCCTCGGAGGTGTTCCTGTAGAACCACGTAGGTAACGCACACACACACACACTGACTCCATTTACCGTGCGAGTGAATAACTTCCATTTTTTTTCGGTTGTGCACCCGCGTGCGTGTGGCTCTCGAGATGCTATATATACAGGGTCATTTCGGAGGAGCTAACAGGTTGGTTATCGCTTGCTTACTCCGCACACCGAGTTTTCATTTATGGCGGGAAATAACTACGAGGCCGTGGGGAAGTCCAGTGGTAGAGCACGTGGTGGCAGCAAGGCCGGATGCTGCATGAAGTTCTGGCTTGTAGTGTTTATACTCACGACACTTGCCCTCACTGCCGCTGTGCTCTGGCTAGTTTTGGCTCCGGAGGGTGGGATAAAACCGGATAAAACCAAGTCAGGTTAGTGGTTTGCGTTTAATGCTTTGGCTCATTTTTTCGCAACTCATATTTAAAGTTTCTTTTCGACTGTCGGTTTACGTCAGCTGCAAAAGTAATCGACACTGACGACGTGGATTACCATAAAATGATTCATTTCTGCTTTAAATAATTCCATTTTTCATTGGAAGTAGCCGTTCTTGAAACGAGCCTCATTATAAAGAGGATGCGCAACAATGAAAGTTTTAACTTGTCAAAGTAATAGAACAGAGACATTGACGTAAATGGAGAAGAGCAATCCAAGTAACATAATGTGCATCAGTGTAAAAGCTGCATATTAGCTGCACATCAACTGGGAAACAAGACAGGGTCGATACGTTAATTAAACGCGATCCTAATTAACTCATGGGGTAATTTATTTGGATTTTGATCTTGTCAATGAAGCAATACCAATCGACATGCGAAACATTTGAAAGTACGATGTTGGTTTTTTTCGACGTCGGTTAGGAAGATTATGATGATGTCTCAACCCTGTACTTTCGTTGCGTCGCAGTACTAGAAGTCACGTATATTTATAGATATAAGATGTGCAAAGGGCAAACATAACTGGTTGAGGCTGCCAATGAGTAGAATTCGAATAAGCCAGTAAATATACCAACACCTCAATGAGAAGATTAGTGGTTTGAGTGACAGGAGGGCATGCTGACAAGCACGGTTCACTAAGTCGAAAATTTGAGTCAAATACCAACGTACATCTAAATGACAAGTACAAATTTGACTATAGCCCACAAAATGCATATGAAGAGTCTAAACGCCGCGCGCAAGGTCACAAAAAACAACACTTTGTATGAAGGCGTACGAAAGAGAAACACTGAGGTGATCCTGTAGATATTAAACTCCATAAATTGTAAAGTAAAAATACGTATGGGACCAAGTTTGTTTTCAAAATGATTTTCTTTTCCGGGGTCAAGATATGTCACCAATTCAACAGAGGGAACTCTACTGTCCGTAGTCCCAACGTGAGATGGCACCCTGTTCACGAATCGATCCATCCTAAGAAAACAATTTCTGGAAAATGTTTTTATTTCATAATAAATGTTCAAGTCCCACTTTCGATCTATGGCATCTACTCAGAGTAGAAAAGCTTAATTTTAACTTGATTTCAAAGTAAATGTAAGATTCTATGAAAAATGAGACCTTCATTCTCCTAGATTGTCTAATTTTGAGTGCTTGTAGCATGGTAATATCGCGTGTCAATTCACGTAGTCTAAAAGCCAATTAGATCGTTAAAATAATTTTAAGAAATCACTTGTGTTTTGAGGGTCTTATTCCTTTGAATCGGTTGCAGTAGGCGAAGAAGGCGTTATGTCTGGGGCGTCCGTGCGACGGCTGCCTGGAATCTGCACACTGCCACCAGCCCGGGGACCCTGTAAGGCCAGTATTGAGCGCTTCTTCTATGACACTACGTCGGCCACGTGCCAGAAATTCATCTACGGAGGGTGTTCTGGCAATGCAAATAATTTTGAGACTCTAAATCAGTGCTTGGATGCCTGCTCGCCCTCTGCAGGTAAACATGCTTTTGTGAGAGCTGGCACGTATTAACCAGAGTACAAGTAAATACGTTTAACGAAAAGCAACGTTTGGTATCTTTATTTGCTTGATCTCAGACAACTTCTAAATGGATTGTGTTGCTTTAAATTTTGCGTTTCCTTTTAAATTAAATTTTCACATAGTTTCATATTTTGAATTTGCATAAAGAGCCAAAACGTTTGTCAATTATAATTTTTTAACAGAACATGAGCGTAGGAAAAAGGGTAATTAATTCAAATGTTACTACGCGTTACACAAAATGAAAGTCTATGCAAGGTAATAAGAAAGTATGCATCAAAGATATATACAATATTTCCATTCAACGTAAAACCAAAACGAGAGCCTATATTCCACATGTACATGTTAATGATGGATGCTGGAAAAGCTAGAATGACATGAAATATTCTTCGAGCTGTAAACTAAATTGAGGACGCTTCATAGACTGTGTACTCAAACCTATCATGTGACACAATGATGCAGCTTGCTTTGGCGGTGTAAACATTCATGGGTAAGAGACAAAACACACGCACATCTGTTGTTTATTCATTTTACTGAAGGTCAATCGGTGTCGAAGGACGATTCGATACCCGAGTCCGGAGATGATGTAGTCGATACCACAGTGTGCCAACTACCACTCGAACAAGGCAACTGTCTAGCCTACTTCCAACGATGGGGGTTCGATGCCAGTCAAGGAAGATGCGTGCAATTCATCTACGGTGGTTGTGGTGGCAACGCCAACAACTTCGAAACGAAGGAAGCCTGTGAGCAGCGATGCATCGGTAAGTAGTACATTGAGGCATAAACCAGTGATCGCGGTTGCAAAATTCGTAAGTCAGCTGAATGCGTGATACGGCTAAGGCACAAATTCTATGCTGTCACGCAACCAATTGCAAAAGGTGGACTACGGCACAGTGCTCACATCCATTGCTCCCACCCAGATGTCCACACTCAACTGTCCGAAGTATCGTCATGACTGGCGCACAGACAACGAAAGAAATGGTAACCTCGAAAGGTGCAAATTAGTGACACTAGCACAAAAATTGATATGTTGTTGCTGATGAAACGTATGCGTTGGTTTCGAGATGGTTGTTTTACATTGGAGTGCCTTCTTCCCACAAAAGCTAATATACCGATGCCAATACCTGCCGCAAACGACGAGACCTTGGATCCAGTGTGCAAGTTGCCCAAGGAAGTTGGTCCATGTCGCGCAGCCTACCGCCGATGGACCTATGACCTCTCGAAGGGTCAGTGTGTTGAATTCACCTACGGCGGATGCTTAGGAAATGCCAACAACTTCGAGACCAAGGAGGCCTGTGAAGCGAAATGTGGAGGTAAGATGTTGCTCACGGAATACTCTCAGCGCGTTTATCAGTGTATGTCATTTAGGCACTTCGTTGCATTGGCGTTGCCGTATTAGCAAGCACATAATTATAAACTGGTTCCTTATTATGCTCATCTGGACATTGGCATCACCGACTAGGCGACTTCGAGTGCACCTTTGAATGACTGACCACATCGCATCGAGCTGTGGATAAAAGTATGCGCTGTTCACGGACTGAGCACTCACACCTACCATGCGAGCCACTTCTGCAGCTAGGTCTGGAGATG